CGAGGTCTAAACTTATCTTTCAGAAGGTGAGTTCGGGCCGTGTTTTCGTCGTCAAAAATATTTTAAAATTAGAGAAACACGTTTCATAAGCGGTTGATATGACGCTGCACATCTCTAGTCTTCATTCGCTGCACAATAATTTTTGTTTACGATTTGTTTTCTCAACCTCGAACCTGTCAAAAAAATTGAATGACATTTGGTTGACACACAGAAGGTTATGTGTATTGTTTTGCTTATTATATTTTAATAGGTTTTGATTTGTAGAGTTAATTAGAGTTTATATAAGTACCCTTCTGTAAGTGGTTTTGACAATTTTACGGCGGAAAAACCTACAACTTGTATTATTTTAGGTCATCGGTTTATTATTTACAATAGCACATAATCACACTCATGTTCTTAGCTGCATTACAAAAAATGGACTTTACTCAACAATTACACTATTCATTGATGGGAGATTAAATTATTAGAAAAGTTCACCTGAATAAATAGAATAAACGCACCTTTCCAACCACATATGAAAATTATTTACAACTTTCGTTGCAGTTTTAATAACAAAACTTTCATTTGCTTTGAATAATAACTGTGCTAAAACTATATATTTATTGCTGCGTTTGAGAATCCACATCGGATGCATTTTTTACATCTCGAGCGTTTTTTTATCCACATCGGACACATCTGTCCCATTACATTTACATATACTGAATCACGTGATCAAAGATTTTTTACATCTCAGATGCATCCGATGTGGATTCTCAAACGCAGCATTAGTTATACCTATTATTTATATTCCTTACTGGTGGATTTCCATTAACGTCCAAATAAAATAATTTAAGTGTACGTGTAGGTAGGTATCTAGGTATTATACCTAAGTTTTGAATTAATTTTATTTTCTTTAAACAGGTACCTTCATGAATAATGTTATTTTGTCTAAGGTTATATTAAACTATAACTTAACGAATTAACTTATTACAGTAAAACCTTAAATAATTATTAAATAGATAAGTAAACACATAACCTAAATGCTAAAAACAGATTTGACAGGGGTTCAAAGTCAATTTTATGCTTTTTATGTTGCGTTTTTAAAGTACGTCGTTTTACTTTATTTCCTCGATACCGCTCTTTTTTCTTCGTTTGCTCCATTGATATGATTTGCATTGCAATATGTAACAAAAACAACTAGATATGTTAGCGGCGGTACACATTTTTTGATTTCCTTTAAACGGCAGTATTAAGAGGTCATGTATTTAATAAAAGGCTTTTACTAAAAGCTCACCTCTCACGAATGTTTCAGGATATGGATCTAACATTCATTTCTAATAATTTGTGAATACCGAAAATACACATGCCCTAATAAATCGAAGAGTGAACTAAAATCAATTAATCGCTAATACAGCGCGGCAAATTAATTTGAATTCGCTACCTTCTCTTCCAAAAAGAGACATAACGAGTCTGTGAAATGTATATCCTTCCTTCCTTCCAATCCTTTCTTTCCATATGCGTATAACATACATAACCTCATTATAAGTTCCAGACGGGACCTACTTAGGTACCGTCTGAAATTGACGTTTGTACTCGATATCACGTGACCATCGACTCACTCGATAGATAATAGAATCAACTAATCTCGGAAAAAATGGCGTAAACTATAGGTATCGACTCAGCCTCCTAGCAACCCGCATAGCAACCGTCTGAAATTGACATTTCTAGTCGACATCACGTGACCTTTGACAACTACTCGATAGCTAAATTTCGCAAAAATGGTGTAAACCGTACGACACGTATCAGTCGATACCAAACAGAATCCCACTACAGTACACGTGCATACAAACGTATTTGCTGTCTTCAGTGCTTTTGGCCAAATTTATTCGAATCGGAGGAGAAACTTATTCAGATCGGAGGTGAAAAATTATTATTTCTAGCCTGCAACATTAGACTGTTTAATTATGAATATTAATTTAATTATAAGTAACAAACATATTTTATCAGCTGTATTCTTTTTTTTTAAATAATTTTTATTTTTTATCATTTTTTAGCTTAACTCCATGACTACGTAATTATAATACCTATTATGATACTCTTTTTTGTTACAAAAAATCCACTACAGATAGCAACATTTTTTGAATTTCAAAAAGTTATAACAAATAAATCTATGTCAATAAATTAATGGCTTTTTTGATTACATAAATAAATAGATAATAAGTGTAGCTAAAATTTACAATACTAGTTAATTAGTCTAAAACTAGGATTACAATAAGATATTACAAATTTCAATAAGAAATTGCATTAAAAGAAAGTTTCGGTTTCGGCCGAAACTACAAAAGGAGCCGAAATTCGGTTTCTGTTTCGGTTATAAAACCTTGTTTCGGTCAAACACTACCTATTTATATACCCAAATGACGTTCCAAACCTGTTGTGAAATTTCTAGAAGATACTTTCACCATTTCTTACACTGACCAATATAGTGGATTCGCCATTTTCTACATTCCTCGTCATGATTCTAGTATATTCCAGACTGATGACCGACAGTGGCCATAGCCTTCCCATTGCCATAATCGTGGTTTAGAAGGTTGACATCAAATATTTTTGGTAATCGTAAAAGTGGAACCCGAAATAAGGCAACGGGAGACTTTAGGATTAGAGCATGCCATTACAGGATTGGTCGAAAATGGCTCGCAAGACATTGCCCCCCTTAAGAGATAGTTTCTCCTGGAACTTTTAAGTAACTGTAACTGAATGGATGTATCTGCAACTGAATCTTCTTTTACAATTTGCTTTTGAATAGAAGTAACAAGGGACAGTCTTCGGTGTAACCTGGATCCTGGACGAATGACTGCAGACCAGTATTCGGACTTTGATATCTTCGAAGATTATTTCCACCATGTTCCTAATGAACCTCCCGGTTGGTTGCATTATATCTTCGGTATGGCTAGTTTCTGTACATTGGACTCCAGTAACTGCTCCCTCAAACTAAGTAATGTTTCTTCCCATACACGATTGTGGAAAGTGTTCTTTGTTACTAAATATTAAATGTACCGTGATCCATCTTGAAGTGTCAAGGCTTTTCCAGGGGCTGATACTTAACCTTGAAGTTTTTATAATCGTCCAAATTTCTTCCATAAAACAGATGCCAATCGTTGTGCGTCGTTGATGCTGGTGGAAGTGATATGGACCAGTGAGTATTCTTTTGGAAGCGTGAGTAGATCTTGTTGTTGCTCACCATATTTTGCGTTTCCAATATCTCCATATGCATCCATAAACTCTTAAAAGATAAGGTCAAGTGTTTGTTGAAGTTGGTTTAGAAGCAAGTCACTTTATGATTATATAATTACCAAAATCTTTGAATTTTAAATAAAGGTACAGGCACTATAAATATGATTGTTTTGCCATTGAGTTAGTTTATAGCGAGAGTTCGATGTGTTAAGATATATGTTGTCGAAGTAAATTAGAATAATTTATCGAAATACTTCAAATGACATTTAAAGTATAAAGCATTCGTTTTAATTATTCATACTTTTGTCGTATGTTAAATAAGGAAAAATTAAATTCAAATTAATTTAAACAAATTTTTTATTAAAAGTTACAAACTTTAATAATTAAATAATAATTATGTCACCAGAATAAATCTTTCGTTGTATCTACACTATTTAAAGGTAGCATGATCATTCTCTTAATCGAAATAAATGAATTAAGACTTGATATTACTTGGTTCTTTAGAAGCAATTATTAATCTTTGTAAAATACTGTTTAATATAGATATGTTCTTACATTTTAATTATAAAATAATTACAACTACTTGGTAGTCAAGAATGTTAGATTGGCAATATTCAAAATATTTTTATAGAGTTTGAGCATTTCCTAAAACAAAGCGTAACTAAAAAAACCATTGAGATCTAACTAATTTGGCATATTTTTATACCTAAGTAATAAAGAAAACAATTTTAATTGTTTTTGTATTTGTAATTGTTATTTTTGTATTAAGTGCGTGAATTAAGTGTTTTTTAAAGATACATGATATCGTCAATTTTTGGCCGAGAACGTAGGTTGAGTACATACCTAAGTATGCGAGGTTAAGGCCAAAAATTCAATCACATGAGTCTTAAAACACTGATTTCGTCACGAAATACAAACAATATCTTTGTCCAACTGTACAAACAATAATACCAATGCATGGTATAAAAAATAAAAGGTAGGACATCAACTGTGTCAAAAATGGACGGCCACGCGCATGACGTCACACGTATAGTTTGTATAGGCGCGAATTTAAAAATATTGATGAAGTGTGAGGAAAATATATGCTATTTCCTGAAATTTCATGAATATTAAAGAATTACAACTACTTGGTAGTCAAGAATGTTAGATTGGCAATATTCAAAATATTTTTATAGAGTTTGAGCATTTCCTAAAACAAAGCGTAACTAAAAAAAACCATTGAGATCTAACTAATTTGGCATATTTTTATACCTAAGTAATAAAGAAAACAATTTTAATTGTTTTTGTATTTGTAATTGTTATTTTTGTATTAAGTGCGTGAATTAAGTGTTTTTTAAAGATACATGATATCGTCAATTTTTGGCCGAGAACGTAGGTTGAGCACATACCTAAGTATGCGAGGTTAAGGCCAAAAATTCAATCACATGAGTCTTAAAACACTGATTTCGTCACGAAATACAAACAATATCTTTGTCCAACTGTACAAACAATAATACCAATGCATGGTATAAAAAATAAAAGGTAGGACATCAACTGTGTCAAAAATGGACGGCCACGCGCATGACGTCACACGTATAGTTTGTATAGGCGCGAATTTAAAAATATTGATAAAGTGTGAGGAAAATATATGCTATTTCCTGAAATTTCATGAATATTAAAGAATTATATTTTAGAAATTACATGAACTATCTAAAGATATTATTATGAAATAGTTAATGAAAGAGATATGAATGAAAATAAATGCAAATACATACATGGACATATTTAATTTAAGTAACAGTTTTTTTTTCATTTTCCTTTTTAATGATTTATTTTTGTTATACAAATTCGAATTCAGGTTTTTAATTTTAAGTAACATTTGATTTCTAAAGATTTCTTTAACCAGGATAATGGAAATAGTATCTTCGCAACTTCTCAACTAAAAATTTCGCATTTGGGGGCGCTGATTAGGATTCGCAACTTTTTTTTTTGCGACATACAATTTCACCTTTGCTGTATATCGCGAAAATTTCAGTTTTCAAAAGTGTTCCCAGTTAAGATTAATATGAAGATCTGCTTTGAGATATATCTTATAATTATTGGAAGGTTGAAAGTGCTTGAAACACACATGAGACTTTTTTTGTTTTAAATTTATCTGCACGTTGCAAGAGCGGCTGCAGGTCGAACTTTCGGAAGGAGAAAATTGGGGGTGTAGCATTGCCCTTTTTAGCAATTTTTTTTTTTTAATAAAAGGCTCATAGTTTATACAAATTTTAATCTTGGAGGGGGTATGGCCCCCTGGGCCCCCTACGGAACCCGCCCTTAAGCTATTGCTCACTTTTGAGTAATCTCTTATTGTCGAGGAAAGTGAAAAAACATAATGACTCCTTAAAGATTGTCCTATGATTTTTACTATTTCATCCGTAAATAGCTTACCGCATTTTTTAATCTTTTTTACTAATACTACTCACAAAGAACAAAGTTTACAACATTATAATACACATATCCGCTTAAAATGGTATTAATTACTGTAAACGATTTACAAATCACTGCAATGTGCATCTGTCATAGAATATTTACTACGCGTCAACTTTACTAACTCTACACATGACGTCAGCGCCGCCATGACACCATGCGCGATATCCACCCCTGATACCAATGGGTATAAAAGTTTGTTGCATTTCGATTTATCGTAGTAAGTTTTATGTAAAAATTCGCAACAACATTTCTTTGAGTGGGAACATCATAATTCATAATTACCGTCGTTTTGAAGTTTCTCAAACAATTTCTCCAGTTTTACACATGTCCGATATAATTTAACGACTTATTTTACATGAATTACGAACTTGAAAGTGATAATAACACACGTTGCAATTTCAAATACTGGCTGCTTTCCAACAAGACCGTCATAACTCAATTTTTTTCAAATTTTCGATTTTTTTAACATTGTGCTTAAAAACTCAGTATAATTTACTTGGTAAGATAGACAAAAATCAACTGTGCGTAGTTTGACCAGAGATCGTTATGATTTTTTGACACTTCTCGAAATAACATCGCGCTTTTGTGTGCAAGATTGTCACAAATTAAAAAGTTCAAATTTGTTTTTAATTTTATTACAAGTTTTTCAAAAAGACTGATACTAAACAAAAAATGTCGTTGTTATTTTATAATTTATTTGGGTAACTGTGTCACATTTTATTTTAAGACATTTTTGATCGAAAAGGTAAGTATTTTTAAATATTTTATTTAATATGATTACGTTTAATTTTGAGTTGGGATTATTTTTTTGAAACAAAAAACATTTGTTTAACCATTATTTGTTTCCTTGTGATTTTTTTTAGTTGCTTCGTATTTCTTCTCAAAAAATGCTTAATTTATTAAATAAGGGACAAACATAAAAAATAGTGTGTGACTAAAGCCATAATTAGGAAAAAATGCTGTTCTAGAAATAAGCTTCTAACATTTTAGGTTTCAATTTAATACTTTTAAAAATAAACTAAGGGTGATTATCACTAATAATTCAACGTGATTCTATCATTTTTATAAGCACATTTTATATTACGAAGGAAATTGTTTAACACAAAATTTTTATCGCTTCTTTTGAAAAGTCAATGTTTTTGAGTTGAGCCGGTCTTGTTAGTAAGCAGCAATATGTTATGGGCGAAGTAGAAATTATTGCACAAGTAAACATGAAATTGTTGATATGATGTCACCGTTTTAAACAGTATTATTTAACAATGAAAAAAATTTTTTTTTTCATGTTCAAAAAAATCATCATTAGTGACCAATAGTAGTTATTTATGTACCAAGTCGAACTAGTCTGAAATTATGAGCCGAGCGAAGCGAGTTCCATAAAGACACTTTGCTGACGTGGCCCATACAAACTTTTATCACCAACCGAAGATAATGATAATTAATATGAAAGGAGATATTATAACTTTACATTTTAGAATGACAAAGTAAACAAACAAAAAAAATAACAGCGAATAACAAAAAAAAAAAAAATTAGTTACAGACTATTTCGGTCAGGTTTTCATGGATATGCTAATAAATAGCGGCAGATAAAATATTTGATTTTTACAGTGAGATAAAGTGTTTGTTCATTTCCGCAAATCGCCTATCGTAATGTATGGCTTTATTTACGGTTGGCGATAAGTCATTTATCGCCAACCTGTTGCTACAGCAAATAGAAATTGTTCGACACTGTCATGGCTCCAATAGTAAACATTTTGTCGTGAGTTATTTATTGAAACTAATGGATGACATTCAGTAAACGCTGCGTGAAATTCAGAAGAAGTATTTCGAAAATCTACTACAAAAATCAGTCAAAAATGCAATCACCAATATGACATGTTCATAGAGTGGTACAGAAACCCAGAATTAAAAAGTATACTGTAGACGTTTTACTGAAGTATTTTTCTGATTTATCGAAAGAATATTTAAGAGTACTCTCCTTCAATTATAGTCGTATTATTCCATGGTGAAAGCAAATTTGTCAGAAACAAATGGAAGGTGACGGTTGATTTTAGCCATAAAAGTTTATATGCACTACATCAGCAAAGTTTCCTTGATGACTTGGTACATAAATAATTGTTTTTATTTGCCAGTTGGACAATTGACACTTTTGCGCTTTTGAACATTTTTAGTTCTTTATTTTAAGATTTTATGTAGGCAGATAAACTGATTTGTTTTTCATTTTCAATCAAGGTAAGTTTAGCGAAGAACAATCTTCATCGGTGGTATTGTCTGCGATTTTATTGCGTAGAGTTGATTTGGGAACTGAAACTGTACTATCCCAGTGTTCCCATGTTCGGATTTCCTCAAACAATTTCTTTCCAGGACTCTCGATACTGCTACACTGACAATGAGCTAACAAAATATAGTCCTCTGCAATAGATCCTCTTTTGACACCAAATTCTATTAAATCTTTAGCTTTTTTAATAGAATTTGCAGGTGGCAAATGGTTCAAAAAGCATCCTATGAAGGCGATTCCTATAATATAAAAAAAATATTACAAGAAACTGGTTATTACAATATATATTGTTTCAAACTTCTAGTCTCTGAGATTTGTGTGGTTATGGAAATTGCTAGATAGGTACTTGTTTAAATAATTAATAAACTGAAGTGACATATGTATAAAAAATTGTGTTATGCAGACTGTTTCAGAAAGGATAATGGACAGAAATGTATGCAAAATTGCCCCACCCCCAATAAGGATAAGTTATATACCAATCAAAAGATATTTTTAAAGAGAACATTTCTTTTCATTACGACTCATCTCAATTACTTGTCCGTTCCAAATTATATCGTCCTAATTGTAACTAATTGAATGATAGGCTTATATTCTGTTATTGTAGTGCTTATTACAGGCAAATATTAGTAATTATTACTTCGTAGTAATATAAAAACAATTATAATATCCGGGTATATAATAGAATACAGTCAAGGATTTTATAGACACGTGTATTCCCTCCAAAGGGTCTCTACGTGTTGGTTATACGGCCCCACGTATGCCCTTCAAAGGAACGGGTCCAATGGTCTGAGACCAAGTTAATGGACAATCATAATAATACAATCATAAATATTATTACCCCAGTTACATTACAACGAATAAAAAACCAGTTGTAACACATATAGGGTGGGGCATCCTATACACGTCGGTCCAGACTATGACATGATTTTTTTAAAAATTACTTTCATACAGGAAGATGAATATCTATTGGAGCTATAATTCAAAAATATTTTAGAATTTACAGTGTGCCTCAAAAAGTTTCTAATTACTTAGTACAATATAAAATGAAAGAAATGGGTAGAAGGCATTTCTCTTGCAAGATAGCATTTTTGAAATTGATATTTGAGTTTTTGTTTAGTTGTTACCATGACAAGTGTTCATATGGCAACATTTTCGCCGTAAGTGATTTCAGCTGAAGTTAAGTCATCTATAAGTTGGCAACTACGCATTTCCTTACCACAGAATTTAAGTTTTTGTTTAGTCGTTACCATGAAAACTGTCTCTATGGCAATAGTTTCTCCCTAACTGATTTCAGCTAAACTAAATTATATAACTTGGTAACTAGGTATTTTTTCACTACGGGATTTGGATTTTTGTTTAGAAGTTACCATGACAAACGTTCCCATGGTAACAGTTTCTCCACAACTGATTTCAGCTAAAGTGAAAATTAAATCATCTAGAACTTGGGAACTATGCATTTCCTTACCACGGGATTTAGGTTTTTGTTTAGTCGTTACAAGCAAAAGAACTTTCAGAGTTAATACAGATGATGGTATTTTGTCATAATTACTATGATATAATTCCATGATATAATTCGGAACGGACAGATAATTGATAGAAGTTATAATAAAAATAAATGTTTTCATTTGGCATATAGCTTGGGGGTGGGGCAAAACTGCCCACTCTCCTTTATGGCAAGACAAACTTTTAGGTTTTTAATGATCTCCGTATATTTGGTTTACAATTTAAAAATATGAGTTGGATTGTAAGATACAGCTAATATAAGATAAGGTTAGGATTAACAACGAAAACGGTGTTATCAAAATTAAGTTGTGGGGGTGGGTTGGCTCAGTGGGTAAAGTCATGACTTTGAAATCGAGAGGTCTCAGGATCGAATCCCACCGGTTGCAGGAATTTTTATTTAATAAAAAAATAAAATTAAATAATTCTATTCCATAGGTAGGATTCCCCACTCGACCATTCACTGTTGGGTTCTAAGAATTAGACTACTAGTAAAATCCATAACTTACATAGAACACAAGGCTAATGACCTAAGTTGTCGAAGCCAGACACCAATAAAAAAAAATAAGGTGTAAGACAGACATCTTAATAGTTTCTATGTTTATTAAAATAATTGATTGGTTTTTTTATTTGAAACATTTTATTAATAGTAAAATTATCTTTTTTAATTAAATAAGAGACCAGTTATAGTTATATAGTATAAAACTACTTTAGCGCATTATATTATTACGCAGGTTTCTGGTATCTCAATTTATTTCAACTCAACTTTTACAATAACTATACAACTGATAACATTTAACGTATAACGTCTATCGTAATCGATTTATATAGCTTGCTTGAGATCCTTCTCGAACCTTCTCGAACTGTCCAGGTTTTTCTTGACAAGGAATGACATTTCTGGGCTATTCTATCTTCTTATTTTACTCGTACTTTTACTTATGACGACCGCAGCAACTGTAGGGCGATGGGTAACAATATTATTTTCTACACCTGTGATCCTAATCCTCGTCAGAACAAACGGCTTAAAACATGTCTTTAGCTCAGTGGATCGTACCTCACACAAAATAATACTAACTTATAATATTTATGAAACCAGTTACGAAATGCCTTATTTTATGACACGAGTGAATCTTTGCGGGACGAACAGAGCGAGGTCCCGAAACATGAACGCGAGTTACATAAAACGACATTTCGTAACGTGTTACATATAATATTTTATCTAATTTTTACTAGAATATTTATAAAATTGTGTTTTGGTAAAAAAATTACTGACATCTAGGCAACCAATATTACTACCCAAGTAACATTTTTAGATTTATCAAAGTATACAAGGTAACCATAAAACCCTTTTTTAAGACATTAATAAAACTTTTGAATCCGCGAGATAGCCTTAGGGCTGCTATAAATCTGCTTTAAGAGTAAAAGGGAGAATCCTATAATGGTTCTTAGGAGTATTTTTAAAACAATATCTTAAGACTAATTAGACTTAAGACAAAGTCCGTAAGAGTATATTAGGAATTTTATTAAACCATTTTTAAATCTTTTTTAAGATTATGATAATAAGTGGGATAGGCATAAAAACTTTAAAAAACTAATCAGTTTTAAGAGAATTAAATTTAAAACTGTTTTAGCTTTATTTTGTTTTATCATACTCTCTGACAGAATGATTTTGCAAACATGTTGAGAAGACTGCCATATTAGAAATTAATTATTATTATTATAGTGTATGTTTAATTACGCCTGTTATTTCTTTAATTTTCAAACACACACCAAAGTACTGTTAAAAGTGGGCAAGGTGGGTCGTAATAAATGATGGGCCTTACAATATATGAAATATACGTGAAAAAGGATTATTATACGGATTCTAATCTATTTACCGAAAGTTATTTAATAGAAAATAACATTGTAAATATCGAATATATAGCACTATAAAATGATTACGTTTGTCTTCGATATGTTTTTCATAGAAAATATAACATTTTGTGTTTTTCAAATTATTTCATGGAAGTGACTATTTAACCCCCAATATAAATCCAATTGTAGATTTGTCTTTGCATGGATACTTGTCATCGTCAGAAAACCATTTTCAATTGTGCATACTACTGGACTATCAGAAACAAACTTTGTGTTTAATCATAAATTACTTTAGGCGAGGCTAGAGTTGTATACCATTATATCATAGTATATTCCAATATAAATTACATTTATATACCCTAAAAGGAATCAGCTGTAGATATATTTGACAAATTTGACATTATGTGGTTAAACGCAGTAAACGCAATCATAAATCTACTGTCATTGGCACAATGTTGTCATTGGCACAATGTTGTCATTGGCACAGTGTTGTCATTGACACACTGTTGTCATTGACACACTATCACTGTCTTTGGTACACAAAATACGTGATTACTAAAATCGAAAATTTTTAGAATTATTTGAATTTTGACCATAATTTATTTGAAAATATTTTAGGTACAGGTCTGGTAGACAGGTACTATTTTACATGATGTGTGGTTAAATAGCCACGGTCATCTTTAAAATGGAGGATTTCCTCATTGTGTTCTATCTGTACCAAAAAACTGACATTAGCTTATAAAACTAATAAAGAAAAAAAAATACTTTTTAGGACTTTCCAGTTTTAAAAAGCTCCTGCTACACTTTTTAAAGAGTTTCATAAAACAATAGTAAAAACGAAAACCTCAATAAAACATAAGTTCAATCAGACGGGCATAACCTAACCTCACTCTTGAGCTTCTTATTTACTCTATAAACAAGTCATTCAAAATATAAAAATTAGTAATAATATATTAACCATTTTTCTCTTTCACTGATCATTTCCAGAATATTAGGAGCCTAAGAATGTTTTGATATTTGTTAAACAATGGAACACAATGAACTTATTAAACACTGAGGGGAAGGAGAAACATATACATTTTTTTTTTTTGAAATTGCCACTTTTCTTTATTTTGAACAATTTATCTTCCAACGTCAACATAATGTGATTGGGTTGAAAAACTAGAAAAAGTATGCCTCTTTAACACCAAACACACCTTAGGAGTATCTTAAAACTAAATTACTAAAATTACTGATTAATTAACCCTTACAGGACAGCGATAAAGCATAGTTTACTTTAGGATAAACTAGTTTTCTTAAACAGATTTAAAGGAATCTATAAAACCAAGTAATAAGATCAGTTTATCCTGCAGTCCTATTAGCAAAAAAAAATAACTGTTACCAAAACAACATTGTTACTAGTTTGTAAGTTTAACCAAATTGTATTTTTATAAATCAACATGCCCTACTTTAATAATAATGTATATTATTGATTGTAAAACCTACAAAGGTTTATTTTTATTTGTTTTCCTTTCGTAATTGGTGACGAAATTAATATTTTCTAATTTGGACATACAAAGCGACATTTTTTTAAATTGTAGTAAGTGTCAAAATGATCCACTTTATAAAACCAGTTACATAATGTTAAACATTATGAAACAGGTTACGAAAAATTCATTACGTCACCAGTTCTAAAAAGAAAACAGTAAAAATAAACCTTTTTGGTTTTAAAATCAATAACATTATCAGTGAAATTTTATATCAATAGAATTTGGTTAAACTTACAACCTAGTAATAATGTGGTTTTGGTCCTTATTTTCCATTCTAAATCAGCACAAAATAATTAAAACGCGACAAAATAATCCACTTTTTTGAAAACTAAAGATTTGTTCCAACACGCGAGAAAACCGTACATCAATGAAATGCAGCTGGCAAAACAAGAATGTAATATTGGTTGCCTAGGTGTCAGTAATGTTTTACCAAAACACAATTTTATAAATTATTGCATATAACTGGTGCATAAATAGCTATTTCGAAACCAGTTTTATAATGTTCAACATTATGCAACTGGTTGCGTAAAGTAGATCATTTTGACACTTGCTGCGATTACAAAAAATATCACTTTATATGACAAAATTAAAATAAAATATTTTAATTTTATAAATACTCTGAAAAACATCAAGTTGGGCTACTCGGGCGGTCCAAATTTGGTTTTATCGCATGTCTTCATCTATGTTGCCTCTAAATAGTATATTATGCAACGATCATGTAATGATGGTTATTAATACACGAGCATTAACCGGGATACGAAACGAGCCAAAGGCGAGTTTCGTATGGTTTATGCGAGTGTTTTAATAACCATTACATGAGAGTTGCATACGCTATTTTTTCTACACCCGATAAATAATCAAGACCTATAAATATTATATTTATATTGGTATTGAACACAATAACAGTAATTACTCGTATTTCTATAAAAAATTCTACAAAATTGTAATTAATGGTATTACTTCAGGTATTGGTATTTCCCTAGATTTTTGCGGTAAAATATTTTGTACTGTATTTTCTGCTTTCTCCGATATGTGTGGAGGAGTCTTCTATATCGCTAATATCAGACATTTTAATATTATAATTATCGAAGTTTAGCTAACCTACGAAAATTTAATACGTTTTGACAACTAAAATAATTACATAGGAACCTAGGACAAACGTCAAACAGCATGCTTGATTGAAAAATTGTAGGTTTCTATTGATTAAAAATCTGTATCGTAATGAAAAATCTGTATCATAATGGGTATCATTATGAAACGGATTATGGGCATATAAGTGCATTATTATAATACGGGTGTAGAAAAACTGTTTTATGCACGTATTTTGCATTCCTGTCATGAAAATATAAAAAAATCGGTTAATTACCTACTGATTTAGAATTATAATTTCTTGTATGAGATCCTACTAATCCCCAACCTCGTCCTTCGTACGCTAAACCATCTGAGCCAATAAGGAAATTGTATGCGATATCCTTCCATTTTCTGCTTTCTATGTGAAAAGTTTGAATTAAACGAACTAGAAGAGTATTATCGGCTTGCGTAAACCCTTCTTCCGTTGCAGTGTGGCCTAAGAATAAAAATAAAAAAATGTAATATATCAAATGTTATATATTATGTAAATGATGAAACTAAAATATCTAATTATACAGGGTGGGCTACCGAAAACTTTCCATTTATTGTAAAAAAACAAAAAACCGGTTGCATAGCTCGATTTTAGCTTGGAGGACACTTTTTTCTAATTGCAGCATCGCCACTTCAACCATCAAGCAGTGGGATGAACAACCTCTTCAATTTAAATAGGGAAAGTACTAAGGATAATACATCATTGAAAAGGTATTTGATGGTCAATTGAAACAACAATAATATAAACAATGACTAATTTTTTTTTACAATGTTGCAAGTGCTATATGGAGATATTTAGAATGCTATGTAGTGCATTGAATTGGTAATAAAATTAGCTTTCAAATGACGTGTCACACTTTACAATAGGTAACAGTTTTAATCAAGCTAGAGGGCGTTAAAATCAAAAGTAATACAAATAATCCTATTGCCGAATTCTCCATCAAATTATACTTATTCAATGATGTGTCATCTTTGTTATTTTCACTATTTAAATTGAAGGGGTTATTCACCCCACGCTCGAGGTTTGAAACACAATTAGAAAAAAAAAGTGTCCCCTTTCAAACTAAAATCGAAAAGTCGGAGCGTTTTTTTTGTTTTTGCATCTATACGAAAAACATTTCATTTTATGTCGACATTAATTTAAGTTAATGGCAGATTGTGCTCTGATGTAAATTTTTATATATCTTAATGATACGTAACGATACGTATCTGTTTCTATATGTACGTATACAGAAACATTGATTTAGCACGCTTTTTATTTATCTCAACCTAAGTATTTGTGTTCTACTACTTTTCGTCAAAGTTGTCAGTGCTATGTACAAGTAGGTAATATTTTTATCACATTTATATTCTAATTCATTAAAACACATATCCACTTTTTTCAATATAAACTTTTGCCTCGAAAATCGTGTTGTATAAAAAGCTTTTGAACTTTTTTCTACCTAAGTAAGTTTTAAACCGGTAGTAGGCGGTTTTAAAGAATTGGCACTTTTCCGCCAAAGAAATTCTCGAAAACTTAGCTTTTAAAATATGTATATACCATTCGCCATGTTATAAAAATGCCCTCACCTAACTGGAACCCGGAACACAAGCTATTATTAACTCAACAAATTTTTTTTATACCATATTAATAAGGTATTCACAAACACAAAGTAATATTCGATGCTTCCCTAGAGCTGAGTTTAAATTTTCGCTGTGTCTAGGTACACGGTAACGTGTACGCAAATTAAAGATTTATGTGCACGCGAAACGTGATTAGTACCACATCATTTTTTGGCGTGCACTAATTAATAGTAGACTGATTATTGTTAGGTACACGGTAAATTTCTTGTCTTATTTGAAGTTATAAATCTGACGATTTATGATAAAAATTCAGATCACATTCATGTAATAATTGTAATACATTTTCAAACTACTAAAATATTGTTATTGCGAGCTCCACGACGTTCAGCCCTTCCTTGTTTGCAGACAGGCAACAACGTCATTGAATAGGTCAAGGATCACGGGTAACGGAAAATATATTGTTACGCAGCACCCTGTAGTGTGCTGCGGTCATCATAAGTAAAGGCACGAGTAAATGAAGAAGATAGAATATTCCCGAAAAGTCTCTAAATGTCATTCCTTGTCAAAGAAAAGTCCATTGTTCGAGAAGGTTCCAGAAGGGGAGGCAAGCTATATAAGGCGACGACCTGACGTCAGAGTTTTAGTTTTATGATAGACGTTAAACGTTAATGTTATCAGTTGAAGTTATTGTGTCAGTTGAATTGAGTTATTGTAAAAGTTGAGTTCAAATAAATTGTGATACCAAAAACCAGCGTAACATTGGTGACAGCGGTGGGATATAAAGTAGAAGTTCATGGTAAACACTAGATCTACGGAGTATGAAGCAGGCATGGATACTTCAGGCCCACCGGCATGGTTTTTGAAGATGGAAGAGGAAAAGGAAAGGCGTAGGAAGGAAGAAGAAGAGCAAAAGGAAAGGCGTAGAAAGGAAGATGAGGAGGAAAAGGAAAGGCGTAGGAAGGAAGAAGAGGAGGAAAAGGAAAGGCGTAGGAAGGAAGAAGAGGAGGAAAAGGAAAGGAGTAGGAAGGAAGAAGAGGAGAAAAAGGAAAGGCGTAGGAAGGAAGAAGAGGAGGAAAAGGAAAGGCGTAAGAAGGAAAATGAAACAGAGAAAGAGGAAAGGCGTAGGAAAGCAGAGGTAGAAATTATAAATGGTTTAATAAAAATTCAGGAAAATTTCAAGCAAGAGGTAGGTCAGCTAAACAGTCGAGTAGATATCTTAGCCCAACAACAAGAAAACTTGAAAACTAATTTGAAAAATTTACAAACTAATTTAGAAGAGCAACAAGATAATCTAAGAACTAATTTAGAGCAACAGCAAGATAATTTAAAAGCAAATTTGGAATAACAACAAAATAATCTAAAAATTAATTTAGAACAACATCAAGAGAATTTAAAAGTTATTTTGAGCAACAACAAGAAAAGGCTAGAGCAGACTTGGAAAGGCAAATTAGAACTGAAATAGTTGAGTTAGAAAGAAGAATTCGCAGCCAAGCTCCAGTAAGCAACGTTGAAGCTGAAAACACTACCTCGTCTTCATCCATAACCGAACCAAGCCACATTCGAATCCCAGTTTCACAAAACTATACTAGTAAGACCCTTAAGCCACCCACATTTGACGGTCAGACAACATGGGAAACATATGGACTTCAATTTTAAGCTGCAGCTAGAGCTTATGGCTGCACCGAGAAAGAGATGGCAGCTTTATTAACAGTGTCACTGCGAGGTCAGGCAGCAACTATTTTACAGTTACTTATCCAAGAAGAACCCAGTTATTTATCTCTCGTCCAAGCTTTGGAAACAAGATATGGCCAGCATCATTTAAAACAGGTATTCCAAAGCCAGCTAAAAGTTCGTAGTCAGAAACACGGTGAGAGTCTACAAGAATTTGAAGCTGACATAAAAAGATTGCTGCATCTGGCCTATCCACAGGCACCTAAAGATTTCTTAGAACAAATCGGCGTACAAACATTCATTGATGGACTGCGGGACGTGGAAATGCAGCACGATCTTCGGCTACAACACCACAAGACGTTGAGTGAGACGCTAATTGCAGCCCAGGAATACGAAGCCGCAAAAAGTATACCTAGATCTTCTCGCGCAAAATTGCGAGAAATTACATTCCAGGAAAGCGAAGAGGCTACTACTAATACTATCACTCAACCTATTCTCTCACAAATCTTAAATATTCTGCAAAGTATGCAACGAAATAGTCAAAATGAGAGCAGAAGATACTTTAATTGCGGAAGAATCGGACATTTTCAAAGAACCTGTCGAAGCAAGGCTCCTTCAATGAATCGAGAATCGGAGAATGATGCTAGAAATTCACCTACATCAACCTCCCGAAGCCCGTCACGAAGTCCAACAAGGAATAATTATAGCAGATATGCCTTCCGGAGAGGCCGGTCACCCACACCTAGCCGGCTTTATAACAATAGTCAGGGAAACGAAAAAAGGTCGACACTACGGGGCAGGTGTCGCAGAGGGCCCCAAAATTCGCACTTACACCTTAAATAAAAACGAACAAAATCTATTGGTCAAGGGGTATATCGATAACCAAGAAGGCACCTTCGTCCTTGATACTGGTGCAACTAAGTCTTTCATTCGAATAGGGATCCTACATCGAAAACCACGACCAACTCGAAGAAGCTTAGTTCTGGAAACAGCTACAGGGCACACTACTCCTGTTCTAGGCGAGATATCAGCAATCGTACAGATTGGAAATACACTGATAGAACACTTATTTCTAGTGGCCGATATTAAAGATCAGTGTGTCCTGAGTACGGACATTATGCAAAATAAGTTTATCATCGACCTTCAAAACAAGATCTTGGCAATTGGAAACGAGGAAATTGTCCTAAATTCAGAAGAAAAGACTCAACCGATAAAGGTCCTAGTAGAAGACAAAATTCTGAAGCTGTCGTCTCGGCGAGACTTAGCGAGAAATTACACGGCTTGCATGTGGGCATTGTAGAAAGTGAAGAATCCGTGAGTGACGGAATTCTGGTAGCTAGATGTCTCGTTAACGTTGATCAACTAATTCCAGTAAGGGTTGCCAATTTAACGAAGAGACCATTCAAACTGAAGAAAGGACAGGCAATAGGGCTCTGTACACAGGTGGAAAACATAATCAAGTTCGAAGACCGTTCCACGGGGAAAGCCACCACAAGTAACTCAGTTGAGGCCAGCTTCGTAAAACAGCTAGTTAAAAATTATGATCACCTGACAGCTGAAGAACTTAGAAAAGTCAAAGAATTCATCAATACCAACTGTGACATTTTCGAGACAGGCAAATCTACGGGGCGTACCAGTCTTGTTCAGCATAGAATTTATACAGGCGATGCAAGGCCAATACGCCAAGCACCTAGAAGACTTCCATTTGCTAAACAAAAAGAAGTAGCAAATATGATACAGGACATGATGGCTGCAAATATCATTGAAGAAGCTTCTGGTCCCTGGTGCTCACCTGTGGTCCTAGTAACTAAGAAAGACGGATCTACTCGTTTCTGTGTAGACTATAGAAGATTAAATCAGATAACACAGAAAGACAGCTATCCACTCTCCCGAATAGACGACACACTAAACACTCTAGCAGGTGCAAAATGGTTTTCCACGTTGAATTGAGTTATTGTAAAAGTTGAGTTCAAATATATTGTGATACCAAAAACCAGCGTAAGAATATCATGACTGGAACAACCGAAACAAAAGGAGCCCTATGAAAATTATAAATAGACGTGGACTATATTTTCTTTATTAAAAATAGTATTGTCGTGCAACAAGTTCGACCCTGTTATTTGTTGACCTTCACCGCTGCCGTTACGTCTGACGCTGGCGATCGATAATAAACTAGAATGTTTCTTTGTACGGAGCTCTACGCGTGGAGGA